ATGTCCATTAGACTTGGGTTGCCACCATTTTGTCTCATGGAAAACCAAATGGGAGTGCTGCAGTGCAACAAAGTGGGCGTGTCTTATCTAAAGTGGGCGTGACGCAGTGTGACATGGTAACCCAGAGCCATGTTTTACATTAACATGATCATCTATTGGTTTCTTCATTCTGGGGACTAAAGTGGCGCAGAACTCCCCGATTTCCTCTTGTTTACATTTTATTACGCAATTGGTCCCATTTATGAAGCCTCTAAACTTGCAGACCACGGTTAGCCAAATAAAGGTCTTTTTTTAAAGCCCAACTCTGGACTACACGACCACATGCCCCCCCTTCCCCCAACTCCGGACTATACGACCACATGCCCTCCCTTACCCCAACTCTGGACTACACGACCACATGCCCCCCTTTCCTCAACTCTGCACTACACGACCACATGCCCCCCTTTCCTCAACTCTGCACTACACGACCACATGCCCCCCTTTCCTCAACTCTGCACTACACGACCACATGCCCCCCTTTCCTCAACTCTGCACTACACGACCACATGCCCCCCTTTCCTCAACTCTGCACTACACGACCACATGCCCCCCTTTCCTCAACTCTGCACTACACGACCACATGCCCCCCTTTCCTCAACTCTGCACTACACGACCACATGCCCCCCTTTCCTCAACTCTGCACTACACGACCACATGCCCCCCTTTCCTCAACTCTGCACTACACGACCACATGCCCCCCTTTCCTCAACTCTGCACTACACGACCACATGCCCCCCTTTCCTCAACTCTGCACTACACGACCACATGCCCCCCCTTCCCCCAACTCCGGACTATACGACCACATGCCCTCCCTTACCCCAACTCTGGACTACACGACCACATGCCCCCCCTTCCCCCACCTCCTCCATATGTGGCCCCCATTTTACTTTCCTTTTCTAGATGTTTTCAGACTGGTCATGTGACACGCTGGGTCATCTTTCTCGTCAGATCTTCTTCCAGCGGAGGGCACTTGTCACTGGTGATGAGAGCGGTACATATGTGAAGACAGCCGCTGCTCCCGGCATCATTACACTGTGAATGAAGGGCGCCTTGTTGATGCACCCTCAGGGGCGGACCTATGACACCCTCGGGGGCGGGCCTATGACACCCTGCACTCACAGGGAGTTCTCAGTGTTCCAGTTCAGTGACGCTGGGCGTCATTCAACCCGGGACACTGAGGACGTCTTGTGGTGGAGTGGAAGTACTGTGGGGGTCAGCTCCAGGCTGAAGGTGAACATTGCAGCTATGTCACTACCTATGTATAAAGCAGAGACCGGAATGTTTAGCTGTCTCTGGTCATTATTAATGTTCTTTTGTTACATTTCAGATTGTGACAATTTTAGCCAACCTGTCGATTCTGGACCCGTGTGCTGCGGAGATCCTTCAGGAGAACGGTACATAGTCCCACGTTTCCTCTTCGCTTTGGTCTGCCCGGCTACAATGACCTCTCTATGGAACCGCCTCCAAACTCGGGGTCCCTGGTCACCTTCATACCAAAGGTCTTTTTGAGGCCGACCTCCAACAGGAAGTCTTCCATATTCAGTCCGGTATTACTGGTGTTTCCATTGGGAACATTTCTGTGTGGTCACCAGGACAGGAAGTGAGCGGATTTCTCTTCCATTCATTGAAGGACACAGCGAAGAAGACTGAAGATCTGGCAGCACAGGGTCATAGCACCGCCTGCAGCTTCCTGTATTTCCAGATCTTCCATCTTCTTCGCTGCGTCCCTCCATGAACGCAGAGAAAAGGATTTTACGTTGAGCACAAAAAAGAAAATCCTTTTATTTACAGGGACACAGACATCCGGTTATAACACTTCCACATTCTACAACAGGAAAAGAAGACTTTGCTGGACTTCCACTTTACATTGTATACAATTCGATTTCCTGTTATTATCTGTAAGGAAATAAATCGAAGCAACCGGACTGGCGGTGTGTTTCACGAGGACGTTTCGCTGGTCGTCCGACTAGCTTCCTCTGCACTAGACATTCATTCTGAATAGAGGCAGGGATGTGCGGTCAGGGGAGGCGGAGCCTCACCTATTATTATGGAGGAAAAAGCTGTCAGCTTCAAGTCTGAAGCAGCATTTTCTCCATTCAGATCGGCTTGTTACAGGTTACATATCAGGGAAATCCTAACCCCCCTCCCCCCGTGTCACCTGTCATGGGCGGAGCGCTGTGTCACCTGTCATGGACGGAGCGCCGGATGTTAGTTACAGGCGCTGCATCCGGCTTTTGACAGCTAAGTTAGGTTACACAGCGGCCGTCTTCCCCACTGCTTGTGTAACCTAACTTGGTGAAGCAAGAGCTGCCACAGCCTCTACTCTGTGTTAGAGGGGGCGTGAGCTCTGTGGATGGTTTGGACCAATGGCAAAGCGCCATCGGTCCGAGCTGTCCAATCAAAAAACAGCCATCGATCTCGATACCTCAGCTGTGACGAGCAAGCGAGGGACAGGGAGGCTCCTCCCCGTCTCCTCCCTCCTTCACACTAGCCGGGGCTTCGTCGGGATTGGGGGCAGAGCTTTGTCAGGACATGGGCTGGGCTTCGGCATGCTAGGGGCGGGGCTGGGGAATGCCTCACCCAGAAGCGGAGGTACTTATCGTCACTGAATAGAGCTAGTCGGATGACCAGCGAAACGTCTTCGAGAGAAACACAGCAAGTCCGGTTGCTTTGATTTATTTCTGTACAGATATACCATGTGACCTGGATCAATGAACCTTCGCAGACACTTTCTATTATTATTAATATTGATTTTTTTAAACCAGGAATTATATTGGG